TTTAAACATAATATATACTTGTTTAAGGTTTAAAAGTTCATTCTATTGAGCTTATTTCACACCTTAGGAACAAATATTTTAAAAAATCAAGATCAACTACATATATTGTAAAAATTGTCTGAGTGCGATATTGCTTGCCAATCGAGAGTTTTGTACCACCATGTAATGGGTTTTTTCAAATAATATTTGGCATGTCTTTAATCATAAGAGTATGTTGAATAGAGCCAAAAATGAAAATAATTTTTGGCCAGATTAATCAGATGAAGAACGCAATCTCGGAGAAATACCCTAATATCATTTTGGTACTAATAACTATTACATATTTGGTAACTACATAATCTATTGTAAATAACAAAAATATTTTCAACGTGTGAAAAAAAATGTTATTTATTAAAGATAAATAAGTATAGGGATCGACAGACGGACAGTGCAAAATTAAAAGTTCTGTTTTTATCATTATATCTATCACAATTAATTCAGCATTAAACACGAGTATATTCTATTATCTTATCTCGTGAAGCTTATTTAAGCATAAAGTAAAACTTTGGCTTTGCTAACTTCCCCTTATTAATTGAATAAAACAGGATTTCTAATGGTGCCAGAACTCGTGGAATTTATAAAAAGAATCACAATGTAGGCTTATCTTAAAGTAAGAGCTTTCTAGTTCAGAATTATTATCATAAGCATTTTCTGTAACATATGAATGTATTATAGATATTATAAAAACCCGACTGCATAATAGCTAACTAAAAAGATGAAAACAAGTTGACGAAGAAATAAAGTATTATTCAGTCGGAGACATACACGTTTCATCTTTGTTCATATATGTATGCGCATAATTATGTATAAACATACATACATACATACATAGACTGATAAACACATTACCCTCCTTTGCGTCGCGCAGTCGGATAAAACAATAGGTGATCTTTTTAAATTTACATATAAACGTTCATAAAGATTTCTCTAAATATTCAGCTCAAGAGTATTCATTCTCCTAACATATAAATGCCAAGTTTACAAATACCTACACATATGAAATGTTACTAGTATTTCTTATCCTTGCTTCGCTCGGGCTCGTCCCTGGGTAGTATGGAATAGATAAACTATATTTATTATATACATACATAGGTATGATGAGTTGTTGCGTGTTTATTATAACGGGAAACCTCCCGTGGGAATGAGATTATCTCCCGCGGTAAATAGTAGCCTATGTCACTGTCCAGCCCTCTAACTATGTCCATACAAAAATTACGCCAATATGCCACTCTGTTTCGACGTGGAAGAAGGACAAACAAACAAACAAATGAACAAAGTAACAAACTAATAAACGAACGAACAAAAACAGACAAACTTTGACATTAATTATAATACCTATATGTATGGAAGTATAATATGCACATTTTGTATATTAAAAACGTACGTATTTGATACTTTTTGTGGATGATCTTTGAAAAATTATGACCACAATGAACGCTTACTTACTCTAAATCTTTCTTATCTATTGTTTAATGACTGGTGGGTAGAGTTTGAGTCTAGGACGTACGTCATTATTAGTCTAGACACAAATCGGGTCACCAGCAAGATTAAGTGTTGTATATATACTGATATCTTTGTTTCTGATAACGAGATACTACGTGATGCTGGAAAATCTGAGAGTTGTAAAGATTGTTCTTTGAAATATATACTTTGTTGGTTAATTAAAAACTAAAATGTTGTATTAATATCGTTGTGCGTTTCGATTATTTTTATTAAGCTAATACTATTCATCACTTTGATAGGCCAGATGTCAAAACTTTTATCCAAATTTGTAGGTTTTAATTTTAAAAACAGACAACAAAATTAAAATAAATCATTGTAAAATGCATCATGTGACGTACCAAATAAAAGGGCTCGTTACTTGTAGTTCACATTCATATTATGTACATTTTCTATAATTTTAAAAGGCAATTTATTTAAAATATAATATTAAAAAACTATCAGGAGACAAAGCTATAAAACCGGAACTCTCACCAGAAGATGGATTGTGATAGAATCCCTCGACCTTCCCACATGTAGACTGTTCTGGTCATCTTCATCACGGCCTCGCCGAGTCTATTACCTGGCAGAATCTGCAGTTTTGTGCATTACGTTCAACACACTTGACTAAAAGAGGTCTCTGCAGGTCGCTATGATTTTGCTACTAAGAGTTGGCGCTATTGCTACCAGATGGTGCACTCTGACATAATGGCCTAAGAGCCTGTGAACGCCAGACCTTCGTCATTTTATAAAAGCTGAAAGTTTGTCAGCGCATGTTCCCAACACAGATAAGAACGATGGACCATTATGAAGTTCAGGCTATGGTGGCTTTGGCACTTTTTGGTGTGTAAAATACCGATCTAAATTCGTCAAATAATAAAGTGTGATTTTTTGGTATTACCTTTAGAATATTATTAAAAATCACGTCATTCAATGCCAGACACTTAACATCGTGGCAGACCCTTGCCAGACACCCATTTCATGAAATCATAATTCTACTTACGTTATAGTATAAAAGCTGATTTTTATATATAATACTTGGGTAATAATTAGATGTTTTATAAGACTGCTAGCATAGCATTTATTACACACCATTAAAAATAAAGTCAATTCTTATCGCTTCAAATTTGGTGACCATTTGCAACATTTTCTTAGAAATGCCTCCCAACTTGTTTGGAACATTTTTCATGTTAGAAATGTGACGCAACATTCGCGTAGTACAGGCGACGTAGCTCGACGTATAATCTGATACAGATATTTAACAAAAAAAGCATATCCGGAAACCCGGTTTCATTGAGAGTGCGCAGCTTGCACCATTACTACACCAGCCGTAGGGTACCCCAGGTCCTGCAGTCAAGTGAAGTTTTGCAGCAAACTCTTGTGTTGAGAACAATAAAGATCCATCCACGAGCACTGTAGAGGGTCATGGATCTCACGATACCAGCGTTGAGTAATGCCAACTTTATGTTCTCTCCGTCGGTGTTTAGAAGTAAATATAAAATATTTTACTTCAAACTAATGTATAATAGAGTCATGCATATGAACGTCATGACGAAATTGAATTTTAACATCATACATCGACTTGTCTTATCGAAGTTAACATTTACACAAGTGCGTTGAAAATAAATATTTATATACTAAAATGATATATTTATGGATGTGTTCGCTGACAACATAAAAGTACTTATTAGTTTAAGTACTTACGTACATACTCAAATAATATAGAAAATATTGACTATAAATTCACAGTTCTTATTAATTTGTCTATTCTTACATAAATGTGTTGTACAAGGTTATTATCATGACATAATAGCTTTGATTTTCACAGAATACCCAGATTTATTGTGGTCTCGATTATAAGATAAGATTGTATTTTCTATAAAATGTATAAGTAGGTGTAAATCCTGTAGAATTTTAGCATAAGTAGAATAAAATTAAAACAAAACAAGATTTATATATCCGTATGGGGCTTATATCATAACATTTGGGTTAAATAAATTACAAGTTCGTAATCTCCCATGCCTCATCTCGTTTGAGTAATTAAGGGGTAATCTAGAATTATCACCATGATGGCTTGTAAACTATGTAAGTAATTATAAAGTCATCTATAAACTGTTCCAACAAAATTTTAAATCTAAAAAACTATCGTGGCGACGTGTGTGCGCTCCTCGGCCCCAAAGAAAAACAAACAAAACAAATGATATTACAAAGGAGCCACGTTGCCTGGCGCCTGTCTTATCGCCGGCACGTGGACTCTACCTTGAAATCCTTAGAGTAAATATTATTCATAGAAAGCATTCGACGTCAATACCTTTCAGTATTAATTAGACATTATTGATGTAAATATTATTATTTTCTGTGTGATTATTTATTGATGTCGATGATGATACTACACATTTTGCAATTCGGTTTTGAATTTTTCGTAATACACCTAGTATGCCTTTAAAACACGCGTAAAAAATCTGTGACCTTTACCCATAAATTACAACTTCTGTAAATGTTTGTTTATGGCAAAACATGCTCGTCTGTCAATCAATCCCATTTTGGTAATCAACTATCGAAATCTTTACCATCTAAAGAAATAAAAAAGCACCCGAATTTTTTTAATGTTGATGTAATTAATGTCATTTTGATGCGCGTTATTTATCGACCTTTTGTCTTTACCATTCTTGTTATTATTGTATTATTATTGAAACTTTAACTAGTATAATTTTAAACGTATAAGAGTCGTTTGTCATTGTACAGATTATGTTTTACGTTTACATCAGTGGATGAAGTGAGAGATAAAATTATCTACCTAATAACGAAAAATTATATAACACATGGTACCACTTTAGAGATAGCACCTTGACTCAACGGGCGAGTAAATCGTCGCAGTCTCGCCACGTTATATTCGGGGCTCAGAGCTCAGTGATAGCAAAACTTTAATAAATAATTAATAAAGACTTAACTCTTAAGATAAAGTGTCAATAAGTTGATATTATAGTCATTAAAAAGTTTTTATTGTTTTGTAGTTATTATAAATAGTGTAAATTAAAAATAAAAGTGATAATTTACCATAGTGTTCAAGTTTTTATTAGTTAAATTAATATCCGCAATGTTATAGGTAACATTCATTGTTTTATGATTTGTAATGCAATAATTGAATCCCAACTATACAAATAGATGTAATCTCTTTGCTCTTGAACTTTTGATATTTTTAGACGACTCATATCAGATTGAATTTTGTTGAGATATTATTAATGATTTTTTATCTTCTTTGCAGGTACATTATAATGAGATTGCGTGAAAACCAAAGACCCGTAATATCAATATCCAATTATAAACACAAATTGTTTTTAAACTGGTGCCTATAAGAGAGCCGAATTCGTGATTACAAGAACGTTCAGTCGATAGCATGCCAAATCCGTAGGGAGTTACAAAGAATTAAGGCAGCATTGGTACAAAACATGCGTGCTAGTGGCTGCCGACTACTTAGAAAAATGGATGTGCGGTGTTCAATATTCAAACTACTATTGTTCCAAATAGTGGTCTCACGATGCAGCGCAAAATATCTCCCAGTGGCATCCAGAGGGGAGCTAGCCAGTGACGTAGAAGAGAGTATCCAGGATAGCATAAGAACCTTTGTACATACTGGTATGTAACATTCCATCTTATTTAATATTCTTAAATATAACCAATGTCTATTATATTTTAGAATTTTTTAGATATTTTTTTCTTGTCTATGTGGATCGTACTTTATTGTTAGGAAATTAAAATAAGTGTCAAAGAAAACGTTTTCAACCGACTTCCTCAAAAAGGAGGAGGTTCTCAATTCGGCGTGGGTTTTTTTATGTTTGTTACCTCAGAACTCCGTCATTTATGAACCGATTTGAACAATTTTTGTTTTGTTGGAAAGTGTATAGTTCTAGATTGGTCCTATTTGAATTTAAAAAAAAATACCACCCGTAAGGGTGGAAAAGTAGCTAATGATAAATTTATTATATATATATATATAATTTCGAAGTCGGTGCCAGTCGATACAAAACAAAGCACACCAACTTTGAAAATATTTGATTACGTATGTATAGTAAATGAAAATTACCAATCAATTATTTTTTACTTTTTAGTGCTTTTTTTGAAGTCGGTTTTTATTTTTTTGTTAAAAAGTTTTCTTCTAGTAATATTTCACTAAAGTAATATTTCAACAACAACGGTTTCATTATTTTTATATCCTCTTAACCTTCTATTGTTCTTGGCTAACCCATTCCACTAGTTCTTATATTTTTTGATTGACTCTTACGAAAATAAACTCTAAAAAAACAACAAACAATTTAAACTGACGGATGGGGATAAAATTAATGTTAAATTTATAAACTCGTAAACCTAATCGTGTTTCATTTTTTGCGGTTGTCACAAATTTGAGATGTTGATAATTAGATTCGCGTAAAGGGACAGCCTGAGATTGCCTTTGAAGGATTATCTCCTCTGTGTTTGTAGATTAAGGACTTTTTCACACGAACCTTACAGGTATTTTTTATATAAAAGGTACATGATTAATAATTAAATTGCAATTTGAATTAATTTTGAATTAAATAAAAAACATGATGATTTAAAAAAATATTATCGTGTTTTTTTTTCAAAGTAACTTTTACTTAACTTTATATTCATGAATCAAACTAATATCAAAACGAACATTTATTTCCAATGACTCTATTTTATTTACTGGGTTTAACGAATTATTCTACAGTTTGACGAATTTGAAGGGAAAAACGAAGCTGCTAAATTTAGTGTTAAATAATTAGGAGTTATAATAAAGGAAGGTTCTTTTAAAAAAGTACAGCTACTTTACTGTAACATGTAACACAGATGGAGGACTCACACGTAGTAATACTCGTAGTATGAAGGTCGTTCAATATGAGAGCGGGCAAATCTTTAAGGATTCGTGTATCGTGTTACCGTAGTTTCGCATTACCACTATTTCTCCCTTCTCAAATTTATATCAATTTAGTTTGAAAATACTTTTAACATTAAATTAAGATTTGGTAAATATTTTGTATCCCCACTTTATCTTACAAGTAAATCTGTACAATGATACTCCCTAATCGTGTAGAAATGATGTAAGCGCTTTACGCAACACAGTAACATACCCAGTTTATTCTCGAATCCAATAACGTGTCAAAAATAGTGTATGGATAGCAAAATGCAGGCCAAGCCCAAAGCATACACAAATGAAGCATGAGCGCAATGAAACAGCACTGTAAAGCAGCAATCGTTGGCATGATTTAGAAAACAAATCTATTATACAAGCCTACGTACCTATCTGACTTGGTCGTTGAACTCACCTAACAAAATTATTAATAATCTCGCCCCAATTAACCCATTTTGGAACAGTTTAAAGATTAACGAGTTTGTTAGCTAGTTATTTGATTTTTCGACGCGATAACGATCTGAAGGTTAAACAAATACAAGTAAAATTTATATTTTTATCACAAAAGTGCGTGATAATAGCCAAAATTTATCACTGGAAAGTGTAAAGTATAACGATCTGTGTCTTTTATCTGACAATATCAACATTTGCAGAGCAAATCTTATCTTGTATGGAGAAAAGGTGCGAATCTTGGTCAGTGACGCGGCGTGTGACGCGAACCTGTCACTTGTCATACTAAGATAAGCGATAATAACGCTTTATATCATAATACATTAAGTCAATTTGCTTCAGTTTCGATGAGCTTCCCTTCAAAAATAAATGGAGCGTGCCTATTGAATAAAAAAATAATATTGTAATATTTACCTTATTAAAGAAAAATTTACTACAATAATAATTTAACTGAATGTACAGGACAAAGCAGTCGTAAGATATGTCGTATCGCTTAAATTTACACAAATATATATTTATATATATATGTTTGTATGTGAATAAACATATTATACATAATATGCTTCCTATAGTACTCGTAAGAAACATTCAAAGTCATTTGTTCCTGTCTACTGCATACGTAATATATACTCGTAATATCTTAGTTTACTTACTACGATTAACTACTATTTAGAATGATGTAACTCGCTTTATGTATCACTTTTTATGTAAATTTAGGCTTTGTTGTCTAGTACATATTTCCTGTGTTAAAACTATTATTTTAACAAAAAAAAGATACTCAATAAATTAAGTTTGTTTTGTTTCATCACTACATAGTATAAAACAAAGTCGCTTTCTCTGTCCCTATATCCCTGTGTATGCTTAAATCTTTAAAACTATATTCTATATATATAGTTAATAATAAATGCAATTCTAGCGAAGAATTGATATTAAACAAGCTCATTTAGTCCAAATTGGAAAATACGCAATCGTAGCAACAGATTTCCTAATGTCTTGAAGTCAGATTAATAAATTATAATTTCTTACATAAAGCATAAATAAGCATCGAATAAACGTTATCTATACATATAATAAAATTGTAACTGAGCCAAATCTGTGCATTAAATATTTTTTGGAAAATCTTATTAAAGTAGTCATTGTTATCAATACACAGGCTAAGCCTATAGTTTTTAGAATTTTTGTCTGTCTGTCTGTCTGTCTGAGAACGTATCACGAGAAAACTACTGAATTTTGAACAAAATTTGGTGTGATGATAGCTCGTTATCAGAATTAACATATAGGATATTTTTTATTGTGGTAAAATATCTCGTCTCTGAGAAATCTATACTAACCCTTAAAACGTACTAAAGACGAATCCGAGCGGAGCGAGGGTGAGTCTATTACTTACTATGTTATTTCTGTGATAATCGTTCTATTGGTGACTCCATAGAATTTGTATATAAATTATATATTTCTATAGATACGAGTATCTACATAATATGTGAATATGTTACATGCGAAGATAGTGAAATCTTTTTGTAATATACTTCCTTTAAAAATTCTTATCGTAGTAGTTAAAGACGCAAAAATTTAAGGACTGCTCAAATATAATATCAAATAGGATAATAATTTCTCAGAATTAGGTATTCGTTATCTCCAAAAACTAATCAATGTACTTTTTTTACATTATCATTAAACCTTTCAATATCTTTATAATTTCCGTATCATTCATTACCTATGTATATACATTATCAAACCAACTTAAATTATTATACAGATTATAAGAAGGAAATAAATAATCATAATATATTTATAGAAAACAATCAATACAAACACCACAAAAACTGGTTTCTAGAGTTAAAAACATGTTGATAAACTTAATCCTTGTAAAGTAATACCCGAGACATTTTTTTACATAACTTTATTTAGTAAAGCAGCGTTTAAGTCATTATTATGGTTTGAATTATTGTTCTTTTTATTTTACTTTTTTAATAACAAAAAAAAATATTTTTTGCTTTTAATTATATTAATTCTTATTTTACGTCTGTACAAAGATATTGAAACGAACTATCGACGAAGTATAAATAAATATGTACTATGTAGTCTATACCGGAGGCAGTAGTTAACAAAAAAATAGCAAACATTAATAATTAATTCATTATTACACGAAATCTTTGTTCGGAGAAATTTATGTTGTGATATTTGTCTATATTTTCTTTATAAATGTCCTCCCACGCACAATGATGAGGTCGGCGTGCCGGCGCGTCGACTCGGGCATGTCGTCCACTGGGGGGCGGGTCGCCGGGTAATAGACAATAATTGCTGCCAAGCCCCTAGTCAAAGAACAAGCTTGTAAGCATTCGTCTCACTCTCGACCCACGCAACAACCACAAAAACATCAACCCGTTTTATCGACACCTATTACATTGAAAATAATCCCCATCGTTGTGAATAGTTTATTTGGCGCTATTTTCGTCTTGTCTTCCAACATTTATTCTTATCTTATAACATTATCTAAATGTACTCATATTGTAAGTTTTTATTACTTGTACGAACTAAAAAGTGTATAATGACTAACTGATAACCTTTTTTGTTCTCTTGTATTTTTATCTGAAACAATAGGTCGAGCCAAATGTTTTAATTTGTTAACGTGTAACATAAAATTACATACTAAATTGAAATTAAAGCCGAATTCTTGGCAAGGTATGGTAATAATGAAAAATTAAAGCAACATTATAGGTATTAGCATACATATATATATTTGGTAGCGTGTATATTTTCTGTGAGAAAAACAGTGTTCATAACAACAAACACTGAAGTTATGAGAAATGGGAAAAATGTGTATTGCAATAGAAACTTGTGTGGCCTCACTAGTATACGAGTATCGAGTGACCAGCGTTACGCGGTGCTGAACAGGCGTTCCTAGTTCTTAGGAAATTGCTCATACGATCACCGGTAAAGTCTAGGTTCGCCAGTATATGCATCAAATTAATAAATATACAACTCAGTGTCCGCCGAGTCTGGCGCCTGATATCAATTTCAAAAACTTTATAATTAGATTATATAATTTTTATAATTTATAATATACTATGTATACTGGCGGCTCGCCCTATCTTCGCTCGGGTTCGCCTCTAGACAAACAAAAACAAATCTATCCCACGGGAACCGTACATTCTTTCGGCATAAAATGTAGCCTATTTGTTATTCTGATGTATGAACTATATATATATATCGTAAAGTTTCATTAAAATTCAATCAGTAGTTTTTGTGTTCTAAGCTGTATAAGTTACTATAGCTTTTTAACTATCCCACGGGAACTCTTTAATTTTCCGGGATGAAAAGTACCTTAAATGTTGACCGGGGTATAAAGTACCACTGCCTCGGTGGTGTAGTGGCTAGCATGTACGGCTGTACACCCGGAGGTCCTGAGTTCGAGTCCCGGGTCGGGCCAAGTTTAGTTATTGAGTCTTTCTGTATAGTAAGCTTCAGTAACAGCCCGGAGTTGGGAAGTTGGCGGTGTTTTACCCCCGTGGCTCGGAGACCACGTAAAGCCGTCGGTCCTGCGCCTTAACTCTCACCGGTCGTGTCGAGTAGTCGTCCCATCGGAATATGGGAGTGACAGGAATAGAGAGTGCACGTTGTGTCTGCGCGTACACTTGTGCACTATAATATCTCCTGCGCAGTTGGCTCGTCTCAATGAGATTGGCCGCCGTGGCCGGAATCGGTCAGGAGAACATCATCAAGGTACAACCATGCAAAATTTCTTTTAAATCGGTCGAACAGTTTCGGAGATTAGCCCATAATCAAACAGACAAACAGAGAAACAAAGAATTTGAAAAAAAAAACGGAATTTGGTCTATTTCTCTTCTTACATCCTCCTGACTTGAGTTTTAGCATTTTTCTTCTATGTACAAACATTCGACCTCTACAGTTTTATTATATATAGGTTGGTTACATAGTTAAGCTGATAAAATGTAAAAAGTAAAAACTATTGTTGAATATTAGAAGTATTATTTAGGTTTCTTGCATTGTAAAGGTGCTTCTTACAAAGTTGCACAAGTCTAATGCTATGCTTCTCAAAGTTATATACCATACGCTTATGTTTTTATTAATCAATAAATTTACATATACCTACAGAAAAAATATTTTGCCAATTTTTTTTAATAAAAATATTACAAAAAAAATCTTTATTGTTGTTAAAATATATAATACAATAATTATTGTTAATAAAGTGTTTATTTTAGTTATTTATTATTTTAAGTGTTGTTAAAATGGAATACGCAATATTTACTGAATAGGGCGCGACAATGACCCTGAATATGTTCGTCATACTATAAGTTGACATTCATTGTTTTATTAACCCTCATTCATCAGCATAATATCGATGAGAAAATATCGATTGTAGATACTTTTAAAACTATCATTTCATACAATCTAATAATCTTAATTCGAAAAGACAGTTTTATTAAAAATGTCAAATATTCGCGTAAATCTAAGAAAGTATTATCTAATAATTTGATGACGTCGAAGATGCAATTACAACAGAATAACTGCTACTAATTAATCATTTTGTTTTCAAAGTAATTACCATTACAAGATTCAGTGCATCATGTGGTTTATGAGATTAGTAACATTGCCCGCGGCTTCGCCCGCGTTCAGATGACCAATAACCAAATTCTTAGGTTTTACATATTAGTATGCTCTTACAATGCAGTTCTTGGATTTTTTCTCAGAAATGAGATATTTTCCCGCTGTAAAAAGACCCGGATAACCAGGTATCACCATACCAAATTTCATCAAAATCCCTCCAGTGGTTTTTCTGTGATGCGGTAACAGACAGACAGACAGACAGACAAAAATTCTAAAAACTATAGATTCTGCCTCTGTATCGATAATAATGTCTATTTCAATAAGATTTTCCAAAAAATATTTAATGTACAGATTCGGCTGAGTTACAATTTTATTATATGTATAGATTAGATAAAGTAAAATATTAAAAAAATCATTTAAATAACACATGGCGTATTATCTTAGATCAATTTTATAGGATTTTTTAAATTAAAAAGCATCCTAGTCTCTTTAAGTTTTACATCAGCTTTCGATACATCAAACGAAGCTAGAGATGTGTTTACTCTACTAAAGTGCTCTTTTCATCTTCCAAGTATGCATGTCAACGATTACGTACGAGTTTATGTATTTGAAATATGGCTGTAAACGACTACACTTAAGAGAACATCAATATAATTGATTGACTGAATTGATTAATATTATAAATTTTGATTGTATAACCAAAACGATTAGCAAAACCGCCTAGAGCATCGTATTACCGGTATGGTACGATAACTTGCATCATCAGTGACAAACACGCGCCAAATGTAAACGCAAGTGGTTATTCGTACAGGTCAAAGCTGTTATATTTTGATAGTTTCCGTTTTACTAGGAAAGCATAGTCATCTAAAAAGTACTGGTGACATCGATTCTCTATTATAGTAATAATATTTTTGCCGATTATAAATTTAATATTAACAAAACCTTTAAATATATTTTATATCATAGTAATTATTCAAACTCAAAGAAGATTAAACTTAAGCAGTAAATTAATGCTCAGGTTATACTCGCACACCGCAATATGTAATTAATTAATTAAATAAGACCTTTATGGAAAAGTAGTAGAAATCCTTAGTGCGAGTCGTTTGACCAGTTTTTATGTTATGTTACTAGCAACTCACTCTCGCTTCGCTCGGGTTCGTCCCTAGGTTCGTTTTAACAGTTTGTATAGATTTCTTAGAGATCCTACCGGACCCGGACCCGGTCAACCAGCTATCATCATACCAAATTTCATCAAAATCCGTCCAGTGGTTTACTCGTGATGCATTCCCAGATGGACAGACAGACACAAAAATTCTGAAAACTATAGATTCGGCCTCTATTTCAATAATAATTACTATTTAAATGAGATTTTTCAAGACATATTTAATGTACAGATTCGACTCAGTTAGAATCTTATTATATGTATAGATATGTAGTCATATACTTGTATTGTATAATTAATTAATTAAGTTTTTTTTTTTTTAATTTTTTACTATTTTATAATTAAACAAAATGGATTTATGTACGTTTGGGTACAGTTCAAAAACACAACCGTTTAAATCTAAATCTTTTATTTATGAAATTTCTATCTTTTATTTATGTAATCACATCTCCCATAATAAAATAGAGCCTATAAAATATTAATTATGTACTTCAATACTATCTCTACAGGTATCTATTCGCATCGGCACCTGGACACGTCGCAAGTGCAAATCTCGACACCAGTGAAGGTGACGCGGGAGGGCGAGCTTGTCTCGCACGCGCTCGAACATGCGCATGCACATGGACATGCGCGCGCGCGTCGTGATCTACACGCAACGGAGCATGAACTACCCCACACAGTATATTACAACCTCACTGTTGACGGGCGAGACCTTAGGCTGGACCTGAGGTAAATTTTTATTTCTTATCATTATAATTTTTAATACCTGCTCACAAAATGTTTATTTTTTATTATAGTCGTATGCCTGAAAGGGATATATGTTTACTATATTTTTACTATATAATATTAGGCATATGCAAAGATGGACGAGCTTATCTATACTAATATTATAAAGAGGTAAAGTTTGTGAGTTTGTGACGTTGTAGGGGGTAATCTCTGGATCTACTGAACCGATTTAGATGAAATTTGGTAAGAAGATAGTTTGAGACCCTGTGAAGGACATAGGATACTTTTTATCTTTAGTTTGTATTGGGAATCAAGCTAGGGACGAACCCGAGCGAAGCGAGGGCGAGTTGCTAGTATATAATATTAACACTTTAAAAATATTGTGAGCGTTTTTTAAAATATACGAAATTATATGAAAATATGCGCTGTTGTTATATTTATACTATGTGGTAACTGGTAAATCAAGCCATTCAGCATATTCTCTTGCATCGATCAGCGTCAAATTCGTATATATAATATATGTACATATTTTATGCAGTAAAACTAAAAAGAGCAGTGACCGTGATGATATCAAAGTGACGTATGCTCGCTATCTCAAAAACTAAATGTATCTTGAGGTATTATCTAACCGTATAGTTGACAATAAATGAGTCTATGCTAATTTAATACGACTTGATGACAGTTTTATGTTAAAACTAGCATTGCCCGCGGCTCCGCCCGCGTTAAGATAACCAAAAACCAAATTCTTAGGTTTTACATATTAGTATACTCTTACAATGCAGGTCTTATATTTTTTAGAATTGAGATATTTTCCCGCGGTAAAAAGTATCCTATATGTTGACCCGGATAACCAGCTATCATCATACCAAATTTCATCAAAATCTGTCCAGTGGATTTCTCGTGATGCGGTAACAGACAGACAGACAGACAAAAATTCTAAAAACTATAGATTCGGACTCTGTATCGATAATAATGTCTATTTCAATTAGATTTCCCAAAAAATATTTAATGTACAGATTCGACTTAGTTATAAATTTATTATACGTATAGATTTAAATGTATTAAAATTAGTCTATTTAACTTTGAATTTGTTTAGAAACGAGAGGTTAGTATTTATGTACAGGAAAAAATATTTACAGCAGGAAACGAAAAAACTTGAAATCTTTAAAATATTTTGAATTTTCCGTGAAAATTGGTGAACTATTTAGTGCAACACACAAGCGTGAAGCATCAAGCAATAACGAGATATAAATAACATGTGTATCGTGGTTTTCCTGTGAAGATTACATGTAAAATTTTCTATTACATTTCTTTTTAAAAACAACAGTTTTTTGAACTAATCTACTTGATATCTCAGACCTATTCTTAAATATTATATTTTTCATATTAATTCTAAACCTAATAATTCCAGGTACATACGTATGTACTATGTAGTGTTATAAAGTTAGATCAAAACTAAAATATAACTAGTAACTTTATATATTTCTATATCAATTATCTCTAAAATGTAACAATTCATTGAAATGTAAAGGAAAAATAAAACACATGATACGAGCGTCCCGCGCGGCCTCTGTTGCCGACTGTGAACTGAATCACTCAGACTCAGACTCAGTACTCTTTCGACACAGTTTATTTTGCACCTATCACAGTTCGACCTTCTCGAGTATTTGAACTTGTCGCCGCTATCACTACGAGTCACATTTACTTATATTTGTTCCGAGCTAATGATTTTATAACATTATGTGACTTTGCCGTGTCGTAACACATCTTATTGAATTATACATGTTTAAATTGTTAATTTTTTTTCCTGTTCCCTCGTTAATATAATGGATAAAGTAATGTTAATCAAAGTCATAGTTTTTCTAAACACACACCCACTTACCTTCGAAATGAATTCATCATAAGAATAGATCTAAATTGATATAATAAATCATGATTAATGTCATAAAATACGTGATGCTATTACAGAGCGAGCGTAACAATGAGACGATGAATCAAAAGCGAAAGTGGAAAATTTAATTCTGTAATGGGCAAATAATAAAATAACTTATTATTTTATCACATCACATAAAAAATAAAAATGAATTTACCTAATACCTATACGTAAGTAATTGATATTGGTTGAATTTGAAGGTCTCTACAATAATGATATGTTCTAATTCATAAAAGAGTGCAACATCGTTGTTCACATCCCAATACATTATTAGAGTATATTTTTTCAATTCAAGGTATCATATTTCTCTTGATAGAAGTGACATGCCGGATGCAAAGTAATAAATGGATACCAATTTGTTTCAATAAGTATACTGCGAAATCACTTCCTAGCTCTAACGCTACAAACGCTAATGAGACGAACAAAATTCTCAAATTAACACTTGAATGATAGCTTAACATTAATTTATATACAGCAGCTCTGTATTTATAAACTTATGCAAATTAATTTTTTCCAATGAGTCATGTAATTCAATGACCTCAAAAATAGTTATTGCAATAAAATATAATCAGCATGTAAATAACTATTACGTATTTACTAGAAGAATTAGAGTAATTGCTATTTTAATTTATGTTTATTACACAGTCATTTTTATCTTGTCACTAAACTTGTAGCCAAGTGTTGATATTAAATAACACTTATGAGTATAAATTTTAGTGTAACTTCAAAAAAATCATTAAAAGACAAACAGTCCAGTCATTACAAATAAAAATCTGTACATCTTGACCTTGAGACGACCGTACCACCATAAACACTCTGAACAGGCGATTTCCAAGTAATACACATAAATCTTCATAAATCCGTCTGTCTCCAGTTTGAGGGATAAAATTTAACATTATTATTTTTTCTCATAATAATATATTATGTAAAATATACTTATATTTAGTCGAATATGCAGGCCTATTTAAACAAACCAAATATATAACAATGTTTTTATGAAAAAATAAAATATTTACTCGCCTTTTTTCAGAATAGTAGTTATTTTAGTGCAAAAATAATTATATATACATAAAACAACGTCGGATTTGTTACATCACTTATAACTCGAGACCGTCTGGACCGGTATTTATGATCATTAATTTATTGGATTTGTCTCCGCACCGAATAGCAGAATAACTGTTACTACATCAGAAAAAATCACGAAAAAAATATAATTTATACGGATAACACTGGCTAATAAATATGTATTTATATCTATTTAAAACGTACCTAGGGTCGAACTCGAGCTAAGCGAGGGTGAGCCGCTAATCTATAGATATGACAAAGGTTATACAAATAACAAGTGATACGAAAATAATGATGAAACCCCAATTAGAATGTTCAACTTAGATTTGTTTTGGTGTATAACAAAATTAGCTAAACAATTGATAAAATGGTCGATAAAATATACTGAAAAATACTGATATGTTTATGTATACGCCTAGAAATATCATAAATTAATATCAACCGACGTTTGTAAGATTTTTTTATGTTAAAAATACACGATTTCAAAATATTTAGTTTGGAAAGAAAATCTTTATAGCCAATTTTAATCAGCAAGCAACGAAAAAAATGTAGATTCCACTGTCAGATTTATTTTGATTCAATACACTTCCTATACAAAGTATACATATTGTTTTTTTAATTAAATATCTGTTTATACAATGAAATAAAAACGAAATGCAAACTCGAAGCACATCCGTCTTTATTTATTCTGGATACAAGTATATATTAATTTCGTACAAGCTTTTGGCTATGCGCCTAATACATGCACTACTTACCAGAGAGATTTTTTATTTATTTTTATTTTCGTTTTTTTTTTTCATAAAATAGTTAAATTTGCTGCTTGTATTTACTAGCAATCTATTTTTTTTTCGCGAAAATATAAAATATCTTTGTTTAGTTACAACACTATATAAAACTAACTTTTATATTCGATTTAAATCACAATTGTTTGACAATCGTATAACTTATTAGTTAAAAATATATTAAATAGCATTTATAAAAAAAAATATGTGAATTTATGAGTGTTAAACCTCTACTCACAAATTTCACCAACATTGCTTACGCTTGTTATCTAGAGTTAGATATAATGAATTCCTAATCCAGTCCCGAACAGCATTCTTGTTGCGAATAATGCAATAAATGAAAAGATAAAATCAACACAATCTGGCCTTAGATTAGAATAGCGGGCCAACATAAAATTAATAAACACAAGAGACGGCCCAAACTTGAGACTACGTAGAAGTGATGATATTAAGTGCCTTTTCAATTAATATGCTACGCGTCAACTCATTTGCTATTCATCAAAATGAATATTTATACAGACCAAATAATCAATGTATATAATGTAAGCTTAACTATAAATATTTTTAGATTTATTTACTCTCTATCCTATAGAGATAGACAGAGAGTAAATAAATTTAAAAATATAAAGTAAAGGATAGAGTCTATCCTTTACTCATTTAATATCTGTAGCTAGTTGATACAAATAGGGTATTTAATTTTTTTCAAATAAAACTTTTTATTATAACCTATAATCTCAAAGAAACTATTTGTACGGAAAAATATCTCTATGATTGTATTAGTTGAAAAAATTAGAACTACAACCTCGATTTTAAGTTTAAGTGTTACATTGAATACATATAAACGCTTCATTCCTTTGATTTCATGCCCTTATAAGAGTTTCTTATTTATTTTCTATCCATATTATGTCCCTTTTTGGGTCACGAGAGTTTTCCGATATAAGGAAACCTACATAATAAATATACTGAGCACACCTCATTGATATCTGTTCAATCTATCGGCCATACGACCTTTCCATGCATCGCGTGTTCTTAATTTTTTTTTATTTATTTACGTACATTTTTTTATGAAAAATCAAGATTTAAGTGTTTCATAATTTTATAACAAACTACATATATATGAAGATTATATAAGTAATCGTATATATGTAAGTATGTAAAATTATTACATAATTTAAATAACAATCAAGAAAAGAAATCTACGTAAACTTCTATAAGATTTACTG